GGGGAGGGGAGGGGGCCCGCGGCGCCGCATCCTCCCCGCCGCCCACGCCCGCGAGGCTGCTCACCGCGAGAGCGCGACGCGTCGGGCAACCTCGGTTCGCGTCCAGGATCCGCCCCTGGAGCGAGAGAAGCGGGGTCAGCGCGCACCGGCTCTCACTGCAATCGGATCCGGGCGCAGTTCGGGGAACCGAGTCCCCGCCTTTGTGCCCGATTCCGCCCGCAAGAAGCCACCGCGGCGCCCGCGCGCAGGTGGTACCTGTCTTCCACGCGGTCCGCGGCGGGCCCGGCGCCCTGGGCTCCTCCCGGGTGCCAGCGGAGATGGCTCCCTCCGCTCCGCTCCGCCCGCCGCCGTTCGGGCCGAGACCGCTCCACCTCCCCGGGCGCGGGGCCGCTATGCAAATCGGCGCGATCGAAGGTTCGATCCGGACCGCGCGCGGAAGTCGATGTCAGCGCCCTGTGCATTAGGAGCCCGCGCTGGCGGGAGGAGGATTTTTTTTTTTTTTTTTTTTTTTTTGTTTAGTGTATGTTTTTCCCCCCCAAATTAAAAAAAAAAAAAAAAAAGGAAGGAAGGAAGGAAGAAATAAACAAACAGTGAAGGTGGAGTCTTGCCTGCTGGGCCTGGAGCCCAGGCGCGGGCTGGTGGACGCGCCGAACCCACCTAGGAGCGGTCGGTTGGAGCTTCGCGGCCGCCGGGAGGGGGCTGGGCGGCCAGGCGCGGACCTAGACGCCGCTGCGGATCAATACCCGTGCTGCAATCCCAGTAATTGTAGGGCTTCAAGCTTTGATTTTAAAGAAATAGGAGATGGCGTGGAGGCCGTGCCGCTGGCTTGGGGCGCCCACCGCTGGGCCACAGGCTCAGCAGCAGTGAGCAGGCCCGGAGCACTGGGCCACCTGGGGCTGGCATCTTGGCCTTGGTCTGGGGTGCTGGACTCTGGCCCAGGAAAGGAGCCGTGTGTGTCCTTGACCACCTTCTTTCAGACCAGGCCTGGCCACCTCCTGGCGGTGTGGAGCTCTGGACTCTAAGGTAGCCAGGGTTCCAGGATAGAGTTCCCTTGGGAGCATGCAGCCTGCGACCCCACGCCCCGACCCCAGCCCTAGTACGGTGGGACCTCCGGGCCAAGCCTGGGCCTCCTTGCTGCCAGCCGCCTGCAGCTTCTGGCTCCCCTGAAAATGACCATCTGTCATTCAATTAAGGTTTCAGGGCAGCTGATGGGGGAGCCAGGGTCAGCGACCCCAGGACAAAACGGCCTGCTGCCTGGGATGGAAGAAGTTCAAATGTTAAATGCGAAACATTGTGCCCTGTCCCGTCTAGGTCCCCACCGGGCCTTGGGTCCAGCCATGGACAGCAGTGGGGTGAAGGGCAGCGGTCATTAGCACTTAGGTTTCAGCTCTGGGCCGGGCTCCTTCTGTTGGGCTATTTTGACCAGAGAACCTTTAACCCTTCACGGAGAGCCCTCTCTCCAGGGAAGACAGATTGTCCAAGGGAGGCGAGGGAGGCCATCAGAGGAGGCAGCAGAAAGGGAAAACAGACTCTTCCTGGTTGCTTCTCCATGGGGCAAGCAACTGACCTGCTTGCAGGACAGAAGAAAGTTCATTGTTGCCAAAACAAGTTGGAAGATCTGCAAAAGGTTTTATCATTTGCATTTTAGCTTTGGAGGCGAGGTGCAGGTATTAAAGGCTGTGGAGCTCTGGGCCAGGTTGTGGGGGAGTGGAGCACACTTGCCTTTTATAGCTAAGCCTGGTGGGAGTGGTAAGAGCTCTAGCTAGCTGAGTACCACTGGGCTGGACATGTACATGATAGAGTGTGCCCCACAGTCATTTGCAGTTGCAGATACTGGGGTGGCCAGCCTTACCATTTTGAGACTTTCCTCTCATAAAATGAAGGAAAGAATTATTGTGACTAATGCAGTTTACAAAAGACAGGAAGCATGCACAGGCTGCGGGCCCTGGTATTAATGTGCTTGGCTCCTCCACACCAGATGGGAGAAACAGCCACACCCTTAGTTTTCTGTGGCCGGTTCAAGGGTGCGGCTTACTTGCTGACGGTGAAGACTGAAAGCAGCTCTATTAGCAAGGCTTGGAGAGCGCGGTCCTTGGGCAGGCTGGTCAGCCACAGAGGAGAGACCCAGGCCTGCCAGCGTCTCACCATGAAGCCTAGACCCTACATTTTGGAAGTAACTATCAGGCGTCAGTGGATCAATCAGTCATTCAGCACGAAAGCACCTTAGCAAATTTTTCACTGGATAGCAGTGAATAATGCATGGCCCTCTGGTATATTGACTGTGGTAAATGGTCTTTGAGGTAAGGTGTGGCAACAAGGACTTTTAAATAAAATCAAAATCAGAAAGTTTACCACAATCATAATAAATTGTTCAGTCATCTTCCTATTGACCCACATAGTATCTTTCTGAAGGAGCATTTGGAGTTATTTTTCCCCCTTACAAACAGACCAGAACAAATTGATGAATTGAGCTTTCACTATGCTAATTTAGACATTATAAATATTTAATTAACATCCCTAATAGCCAGTCATAGAGGGCCCCAGCTCTACTTTACACTCTTCTTAATCTAAAGTAAATGCTTTTCCCATTAATAGCCTAATGCCATTTTAGCAGCTTCCTCGGTAAAAGGGCCCTTGCTAGTCCAACAGGAGCGCGGGCGGCCTGCACTAGGTCGGGGTTCCTTCTTGGGCCTATGTGGACCCAGTCTCTTCACCCTGCTTTCCCAGTTCCTGCTGAAGTGGGGCTATCCTAGACGAGCGAGGAATACTCGGTGCTGTGTGTTCAGGATCAGACGCTTTTGAGGTTGAGCACCAGTAAACATGTGTTTTATTGTACTTATGCTTTAAATTTTCTTAGTCTATGTTTGGAGGCCAGAAGCGTTGCCTTCCTCATGGGGCGCTGGTCCATGGCCATGTCCCGTCTCAGTGCTCCTTACCTCCCTTCCCTTGCCCAGTTCTTTGTCTCTTTTCCGCTTGCCAAAGCTCCATCTCTTGGCTTGCTATGATTGGTCTTCTGCTTTGCTCTTTGATTTATGTATACCTTGGGCTTCTCATGGAGGTGAAACCATACGGTATTTATCCGTGCACGAGCGTTAGTAAGGTTTGTGTTAAAAAGCAGAACATAGATCATGGGTGGTGTATTTCCGGCCATGGGATGGGATAGGCTTTCTAGTGAAGAGTGGTGAAGTGAGAAGAGGCTGCTATTGTCTAGGCCTCAGACTGACAGGGAGAAGAAATTGTTCAAGACACAGCGCACGCTCAGGAAATGCTGGTGACTCTCTAAAAGCACCCAAACTCAGTGGCCTTTCTCTGTTCCCAGAGTCTCTACAGTTCCGTCATCGAAGTGCAATGCTGCCAGAGCTCTTGGCTGGGCTGCTGGTCTCATCGTTCCCACTCGAGAAGGGGGAGGCTGAGGGCAGCCTGACCACCCTGGAACCCGGCTGTCCGGGAGCCCTGAGTCGTGACCTTGGTTCCTGCAGCGTCCTCTCATGCAGCAGTCCTTGCGCAGTCTCCTTGTCCAGGAGAGTTCCAGAAGCAGCGCTGTATTCTCCTGGGCCAGGAATCAGGTCAGAACTGCGAGTTCAAGAAATTAGAAACTGCAGGTTCTCTGAGGCTGGCGCCAGCACCTGCAGGTGCAGGACATTGGCGTGAGCAGCTGGAGAAGAGACACCACTGCCACGGATGGTGTGAGGCTTGGGCCGGCTGAGCCTCCCCAGCCTGGAGCAGTTCTAAGGGAATTGCAGAAAATGGAGTTGTGTTTTGTGTGTTGCTGGCTCTAGAGAAAGTAGCAACCTTGAGAGGTTTGTTTGCTTGTTTAATTTATTTATTTATTTTTGGTGCTGAGGGTCGAACCCAGGGCTTCCAGCTGGTTAGGCAAGCATTCTTCCTCTGAGTCCAATCCCCAGACCTGAAAATATAACCTTGAATTATTTTTTTTTATTTGCTAGCACAGAATATATATATGCTACTTAATACAGTATATATGTTGGTACCAACATGATTGATATTTGTCTAGATGGAGAAAACATTGCAGTAAAATCACATACTATTTTTTTTTTTTTTTTTTTGTGGAACCGGGGGATTGAACTCAGGCCTTTGCACTTGCCAGGGAAGCGTTTATTCCACTGAGCCATCTCCCCGGCCCTCACATACTATTTTTATTTTTAATTTTTTTATTGTTTCTCTTGGTATTTTAAGCATGGTTTTAGTATTACATATTGCTGTTCTCAATGTAGTTGCTTAGTTCACAGATATGTGTATATACAAGATGGCTAAGGCAATTGTGCTAGAAGTTCCACCAGTTTTTTGAAAATAGTAGTTAATGAGTAGAATTCACACCTTGGCTAACTCCTTTTATTTTTGGTGCAGTTTCCCTTTTGCCGCTGGCTCTCTGTGGAAAGGCTGCCTAGACGGCCTGCTGGGCTGCTGAGCTGCTGAACAGGCGGGGCCGCAGTGGCCGAGCCCTGTGGGCTTTCGAGATGTGTGCCGCGGTGCTCCTTCCTGAGGGCGCGGGGCCCACATGGTACTGTGTGCGGCTTGTGTGCCCAGTGGAGGAAGAGCCCGTGCAGGCCCTATGAAAGGCCACCCTTAGGTCCCAGAAATGGGGAGCAAAGCAGGCAAGTCTCAAGCCTGCTTGACTATCCACTGCCCAAGAAGTCATCTTTGTTGCCAGCCTGCAGAAGGCGGTTCCTGATGCGCTTCAGAGGGCTGCAGCAGCTTGGAGAGAGGGTGGGGAGGAGCTCAGGGCCAGGAGGTCGTCCCTCAGGGCTTTAACCAGGCCCTCTTCCCTGGGGGGAGACTGGGCGGGGCTGGTGATGTGCAGACAGGGAGGCTGTGGGGGCCGAGGGCACTGGGGCCCTATGTCAAGGCTGTGGGCTCCTTGTGTCCCCTGGCAGCTGTGTGGGCGCGGCCCGAGTGGGAAGCCCTGGGCTGTGAGGGGCCTGTGCCCAGGAGGGCTTGGCTTTATCACTAATGAAGCAGAAAACCCACGGACTTCTTTGCCCTGGAATCAGAGGACCAACAAATACTGGGACAGGGAGGCCAACCTCACAGTGACACCAAAAAATGAACACAAACCTGGTATCCCTGCTTTCGAGATAGAAACCTTAGTCCATGAATGAGTTTCCCACAACTCCATTTTTCTGATTTAATTACAGAAAACTCATGGTGTTGAACTCGAGTGTTTCTGTTTATTTGTGTCACCTTTTCTCCCATCACAGCACACGCTCCATGGCTTTGTCTTGGGCGCTGCTCTTGCTCCATAGTGACCTTGCTTGGGGTGGGCAGTCTTGTCCTGGAGCCAAGATGCTGCCTCAGCCTGAAGTGCAGCTTCTGCTGCCA